ATTTAAGCCGTATAATTTTTATATGCTTTGAGAGCTCATATAGCAAGGCTTGTGTGTGAAAAATTCCAATTAATTCTACGCAGTAGTTTTTGGTTGGTGCCCTTTTAAATATGGAGAGCGATAAGCAGCATTTTCGACATATCTTACTGTTTTACTACAGAAAGGGTAAAAATGCTGTTCAAGCCAGAAAGAAATTGACTGATGTGTATGGAGAAGGTGTGTTGACAGTACGCCAGTGCCAGAACTGGTTCGCTAAATTTCGATCCGGCAATTTTGATGTCGAAGATGCACCACGTTCGGGAAGGCCGGTTGAAGCTGATAAAGACGCGATAAAGGCATTAGTTGATGTGAACCGGCGAATAACAACACGTGAGATCGGATTGAGGTTAAATTTATCAAATTCAACAGTTTATGACCACTTGAAAGGCCTGGGATTATCCTCGAAGCTCGATGTATGGGTTCCCCATGTTCTCACAGAGAGAAATCTGTGTCGCCGCATTGACGTCTGCGATTCGCTTCTCAAACGTCACGAAAATGATCCGTTTTTGAAGCGCATCATCACTGGGGACGAAAAATGGGTTGTATACAACAACGTCAAACGCAAGAGGTCATGGAGCAAAAAAGATGAACCGGCTCAAACCATTTCCAAAGCCGATATTCACCAAAAAAAGGTGATGCTGTCTGTTTGGTGGGATTTTAAAGGAATCGTTTTTTTTTAGCTTTTACCGGATAACACAACGATTAATTCGGAAGTCTACTGTCATCAGCTGGACAAACTGAATGATGCACTTCAACAGAAAAGGTCAGAACTAATCAACAGGAAAGGTGTAGTGTTTCACCAAGACAACGCGAGACCTCACACAAGTTTGGTCACTCGCCAAAAGCTTTTACAGCTTGAATGGGATACAATGCTACACCCACCATATTCTCCAGACCTGGCACCATCGGATTATTATTTGTTCCGGTCACTCCAAAATTTTATGAGCGTGGAATTATGCTACTACCAGAAAGATGGCAAAAGGTGTTGGACCAGAACGGTCAATATATAATTTAATAAAGTATTTGTTTATTATACGAAAACTGTCTTTCATTTCCACAAAAAAAAAACGAAATGACTTTCCGAACAACCCTATATTTTGTGTGTGCTGAGTCTACGTACATAAAGTGAAACATCTGAAACATACGATCGCAGAAAGACAAAAGGATTCAAATAAAGCCAAGACAAAATAACAAATACGATAACATTTGTTTACACTATTTGTCCCAAGAATTTGTCTCGACTCAAGATAAAGAAAATAAATGTTGGGTTGTCTCGAACAAATTTTAGAAACGAATTACTCTTTGTCATTCAAAGGCCTTTAAAGAAGCGGTAAAAGAGATCTCGAGGACACGAAATGCACAAAGCGTAATAATTAAAGCATTCGTATCATAATTGTACCGTTTAAGTTTCAAGAAGAATATGGCTCTCAAGAAATATATTATATACAATTTATACGAACGTTCAGAAATTAATTTTTTCTTTTTTAAATGCAGATATCTAACTTCTATTATGCATTAAACTTAAATTAAGTACAGGCCTGACGCTGGAAGTTGGCGGAAATTTTGAAATGGCGTGGATGCGCGGTAGCAAAAGTAGGCAGTTTTAGTTATAACGATTGCAGCCCTCTTTCTTCAGTATTCCTATCAAGGGCGTAGATTAAATATTTAAAAATAGGGATCAGTGAGCAAGTAATAGACAGGCAAACAAAAGAACTAATTGTTGATGTTGGTGACAGTGAAAGAGATTCCCATGATGACAGTGAATGTGAAAACTAACTTTCAAACAAAAGCAATAGGTTTATTTTTTCTTTTTGGTAAGTTATGTTTCTACATTATTTTCTAGTACGCTACTGTCCTATCTGTATTAATACTATAATTTACGGCTACTGAAAGCTTATTTGTGTATCGGTTCCAAGTGACTTACCCAAATAGGTCATAAATGGGCAAGTACCTGCGTACTGCGCGACCGCTCGCCAGCTTCCTTCGTCCGACCTGTATGTGTAGATGAAATATTTGTAGTTTTATAAAAATGCTGTCAAACCAAATTATAGGTACTATATATATATGAAACATTTTGATATCATTTAATAGTGGTAAATACATCAAATATTAATGGAAAATTCATTTGCCATATATACCAACTATAAATTACTTCAAGTTGATGAAGAAAAATTTGTTGCTGTTGTCATATCCTTGCCGGGAATCGAACCCAGAATCTTTGGCTTTACGCGCCAGTGCTCTTACCACTAAGGTACGAGTGATGACAACAGCGCGTAAAGCCAAAAGTCCTGGGTTCGATTCCCGGCGAGGGTGTGACAACAGCAACAAATTTTTCCTCATTAACTTGAGGTAATTTACAGTTGGCATAAACAGAAAATGGATTTTCGCATTAATACTTGGTAGATTATAAGTAGTTACGGATCTATGTATTGGAATAAGGTTTTAAATATTAAATCGTCGATTTGATAGTAACTACCGGAAAAATTCTGTAATCTGACATTCTGTATTTAATTAAAGTTTAAATGACAAACATTGGAAGGTAATTTATTATATTTTAGTTCGATTATATTAATGAGAAAGACAGAGACAACATTCATGCAAGTTAAGAGTTTAACCCAGGTCAATATTCATCCATTACGAATCTATTTCAACGTGATTTTGGTATATTGATTACCCATGATTTATAAGGGATTCGTTTTTCACTGAATACACATTTTTTGCTGTCTGTAATATCTAGACTACAAAAATATATCAGACAAAATAAATCGCTTTCAAGAAGTTTAAATTGCACCAAATAAAACGTTATTTCGTTTCGTTTAAACTCCAATGAAAGTGAAATCAGGCAAGCTTACATACAATAAATGAGAACCGCTTGTGGCCGTTTTGGGAGATATCACGAATTTTATTTATAACGTACATTATTCTCACCACAATATTGTACGTAGAAAGTTAATCCAAAAGGCGTTGAAATGATTAAAAACTGCAAAAAGTGATTTAGTTGACATTTACTTACTCTCAGGTATCCTCAAACTTTTTTCTAACTATTACTGGATAATATCTGTTCTAGGAAAGTGACACAATTTACGTTTTCATCCAAAAAAGATATAATAAACCGTAAGGACTCAAGATAAATGACTTCATAAAATAATAATGGTCGCTTTCTGAAGTAAATTTGTTTTCTAGACAAGGGGGACAAATAAATGGGAACACTCCTCCCTTCTGTAGCCCATGGCGATGAAAATTTAAATACAGTTTTCTTAGTAAACAAAATTTATATAATGCACAATGAAGTTCAACTATTAGAAGTTGCTTTTTTAAAAATCTAAAATCTATAATGTATGCATTTCCTAGGAATTACTTATATGAAATTCCGATATTGTACTAGGAAATAGTGTCCGACCGACAGTTCGGTTTCGGTTTCGGTCGAGTTTCGGCAAAAAAACGAGTTTCGGTTTAGTTTCGGTTTCGGCGGCAAACCTGCTGAAACTACGACCGAAACCGAAACTGCGTTCGGGAGTTCTCGCGCTCTGCTCGGTCATGTTCGGCGCTTTAAATTCCATCCAAGCGAAGTAGATTAGTAGAAATTTCGCCATAACATGAGATTGTTTAACTATGAATACTAATAAGAAATAACGATTACAGGTACCTACTTGAAATTATTAGTAGTCGTCGCCTTTTGCAATATTATGATCACGATTAGTTTATAATTTAGTCGTTTACCTTTTGTTTCTGTTGAAGTTTAGTGTCATTCAACATGACGAATTAAGTTTGGAAGAAGTTAATTTGTTCTTAATTAAGATAAAAGTGATTTATTTTGTTTTGTTTATTACTTAAATATTAAGTTCCTATACCTATTGTGATATTAGGTAACAATAACAAAAGTAATTTTATGTTTAATATTATATAAAAAAAAGCATGAATAATCTTCAAAAGAAAAATGAGTCTAGTCTACTATACTTACTCAAATAAACATCTCACCTATTTTAAGTATTTTTAAGGCGCAATTAAAGTATTTCCTTAAATGAAGGGTTGTTATGTTGATTTTGATTTGATTATCAATAAGTGAAAATGTCAAAGACTGCAGAGCTATGTGATTTAAAGATAAAAAAATAAAACTGACTGATTATAATAACGTTTTCTTTATTTTTCTCTCAAAACATGATACTTATAAGGAAGTTTCGGTTTCGGTTTCGGTTTCGGCCGAAACTGAGACCGTTGCCGAAATTCGGTTACGGTTTCGGTCGGACACCATTAGGACACATCTAACGTATCAGCCCCGACATCCGGCGTACAGGGGCATTAAAGAAATTCCTGTCTGTCATAAATCTCCCTAACCAAACAATGACGTCACCAGTGGATGCAGATACATCTGCAAACAGCCTGCCATATTATTGCCTATTTAGTATTGTCTGTAACACATTTCCGATTGCTACTTAGGAAATGTATAGATTTCCTAGGAAATGTGTCTAATATAATTTATTTCACACATTTCCGAGCAATTTTAGGAATTACATGCATTTCCTAGGAATTGTATACAATGAGAAATTTCATACGTTTCAGGTAACTCATCATATACCTATTGCGAATATGTATCTATATGTATAGGCACATCAATAGCAGTAATAAAAAATCAGTTATTTTAGAATCATTCATACTTTTTCAATTTGCGTCAGAGACCATACGAATGGGATCGATCTATATCTTTTATGGAAACGTTTTAGGATTATTCTTTCCTTCCAGGACGACTATAACGTGTCGTAATTCATTTAAATGGTACAATTTACAAACAGAACCGCGCCAGTCATAAAGGCGATTAAGTTGCCCTTATGGATAAAATTAATTACGTATTTCCTTTCGAACGGTGTCGTTTATGGCACGAAATTAATTATTGGGAAGGTAGTTAAGGAGTCAAGAGAGAAAGACAATTTTTAGTACTCAGTACTGGCGTAATTGTACAACATCGTGTGCGTGCGTGCCATGTTACTGTGTTGTGCTATGCTGGACCCAGTGAATTATTACGAAAGCAAATGTTGAAAATAAAGGTAATAAATTGAACGTTAAAAAAATTACCTATTTTTTTATTTGGAAAAAGCAAGGAGTTATGCAGTCGAAAACAAAATAGAACAAAAATTANGGCGAGCTGGGCAACCGCCCGGAGCTTCACTCTTGCAGGGGCCTCGCGTTTTCCAATTAGAAAATTTTTAGGTACTAATGGTACTTATAGTACTAATATTTGTTTGAATTTCTAAAACTTAATAAAGCTGCAAGCATCTCTTAACAAACTGATAAAGATATATCCAAAAAATTAAAAATAGTTTGGAGCCGAGCCTTTTCGCTAAAAAAAATGTGTTTAAGTACATATAAGATAAAATTGTTATAGCTTATTAAATAATTCAGGATGGAAAAAGAAAAGTTGGGTAGCTTTTAATAGTAAGAAATCACTTTTTTGTGTTCGCGATCGATTAATTTGAAAATTTAAAAAAAATTTTGAAAGTGGCGCTGCATGAGTGTGTAACATGAACTGTGGAGAAAAAAAGTTAGAAGAATTTGAGATGAAGGATGCTAAAAATAATCTCGATAGGAAAGGTTAGATGTGAAGTTGTATTAGAAAGAGTAGGAGAACAGAGGGCGCTACGGAAGCCTACACGAAATAGGGGAGATAGGTTGATAGAATACCTTCTTAAACGTAATTCGGGTTTAAAGGCTGTCGTCAGTTGGAGGTTCTTTCATCTCATCACTCATCCACACCCAAGTATCGGAAATGGGAGGACCTCTGAAGAATTCGCCACTCGTACTAGCGAAACGTTAAGTTCCTTCAACCGACGACGACCTTTAGACTCGAATCAATCGTACTGACCACAAAAGCCTTTGCTAATTAGAGGCATATTATCGTAGTTAAAGGGCAAGACAAAGAAGTTATTGGTGGTCAGTATTCTGGCAAAACTGTCAGGCGCGGATCTTGATATTAATCTTGCTAAGTCTCATCATCAGTCTCTACTTGCTACCTTGATACAGAGTTTTATGAATCCTACAAACGGCGTGGTAAACGCCATCTGTAGTACAATGCTACATTTAGTAGAATTGATGGATTAGATGGATATGTAAATGTATTATTGTACTACAGATGGCGTTTACCGCGCCACGCCGTTTATATAATTACATGCGCTCAACGTCCGTCGAATGGTGTGACGGAACTTCTATCTCATACTAAAAGAACTATAACTTCAATAAATTAATAAGTAAAGTAAGTGTTAAAGACTCAAATGACATCTAAACAAAATTGAATATCATTTAAAATTGATCATAATTCTTTCTCTACATGACTCTTTCTTGTTTTATTATTTATTTTCGAACCTGGTACAATGGAAAAGTTTTAAGAACCGATTGACTGTTTAAATTATAATGTTGTTCATTAATATTCTATGCATTTGCAAAAAGGTAATGAGTTGCCATCATAACATGTATAGGTTTGCAATTACATAAATTACAATAACTGAATGGCATAAACCACGTTCATTTCATGTCCAATAATACATGTAACAGGTGCCTGCTATTAACTTACAGACTGGCCATTTATACGTCGGTAAAATTATCCTGGAATAAGAAATATATTATTGTTATTATTTTATAGTATAAGTAAGAAGATAACGATCAGTAAAACGTTCCATGTTAATAAACATTTTTGCGACATAAATGTATCATAAAAGTAAAGTAGAAAATGGAGACCGTCGTAAAAGGATAAATAAACTAAAAGAAGGGACTCATCCAAGCCTAGTGGTGCAGACGTTGGAATTCTTTTGATTAATGGGGTGGACCCACATGCTCCTTTTGTCTTCCTTCTTCGGCCAAAAAATAATGTGGCCAGTCTTCTTCATCAGAACTGCTGATTTTAGGTATAGTGAACCTATTACGGTTACATGTACCTAAACTAAAATAATAATAAAAATATATTTCGTAGAAAACGACGGCGTCACCGTCAGGAGTTAGGGAAGACGCTGGTTGAGGACACTGGTTAGATTCCGTCTCCTTTTCCGTGATAATTTAAATTTGGTAGAAGTAAATTAGAACTATTCTGGTAAACAATTTTTACAAGATTGAAGGAAATGATAGAAAAACTGTAGAAGTATTTATTAAAGAAGTGGGTTGGAACTAAATAGTGAAAAATTAAAAATTATTGAAGTTGGTGTGCAGATGAAGACGGGGAAGCGAAAAATCAAAATAGTATGGAAGGGGGTAGGAGAAAATAATCCTTTAATTTGTTGGCAAACTGTCGACATTTAGCCCATACCTACATAACAGTTCCAATTTGTCTCTAAGGAATGATCTTTCACTTAGTTTTTGTATTACCGGGAATGTATGAAATCTAGGAATTGTATACAATTCCGAAGCTATTTAGGAACTGTATAAAATATTGTTTCAAAGATTTTTTAATACACACGTATCCTGGGAAATATATACATTTCCTAGGAATTGTGTGAAATTTTGATATTTTACTAGGAAATGTGTAAAACTAATACTTTCTGTGAATAAAATATTCTAGCATATCAGACAGGCCTCTAGCGGGCAGGGCCATTAAATAAACTCCAATCTGTCATAAATCTACCTAAACAAGTTTATCTGATATGTATTGTATTCACAGAAAGCAGGGGCGGGGCCTTTGGGGGTGGCGAGCTGGGCAACCGCCCGGAGCTTCACTCTTGCAGGGGCCTCGCGTTTTCCAATTAGAAAATTTTTAGGTACTAATGGTACTTATAGTACTAATATTTGTTTGAATTTCTAAAACTTAATAAAGCTGCAAGCATCATTTCTTAATCCCTGATTCTTTTAAATAATAATCTTTGTGTTTATTAGTTCTTGTTAATTTCAAATAAACAATTTTGAAATTCTAATTATCATTAAAACTAATTCCACAAGGACAAGGGCTTCGAAAAACCTACCCGCCAGGAGCCTCCCAGTGGTTAAGGCCGCCCCTGAGAGAAAGCATTAGTTTTATACATTTTCTAGTACAATATCAGAATTTCCTAGGATAAGTATGTACTAAAAAATCTTTGAAACAATATTTTATACATTCCCGGTGACATATTCATATTTTATACGTTTTATCATTCTCACCCCTACCACACCTCCACCTACATATTCCCATGATTCTCATTCTACTGATACTTTTCACATTTAAACACACTGCCAGTAACGTATACAGTATATGGTTTTTTATTTGCTACCTTCACCCTTTCGTACTGCAAATCTTCTTTTCTTGGAACTAGGGAACCGTTTCCATTCTCGGCTTTGTGTCAATACCAATTAATCGCTGGTAATAGCCGTCATTTTGATAATTGCACTTCTAGGTATGTGCGCAGACACGTACACATTCACACACAATACGATAAACACGCATACACAGGCACCTACTAATTAAGTTCCGAAGAAAGTTGCTTTTATCATTTGTAAATACATGTCGCGTCGCGTTTAGTCGCCTGTAACTCTCCAATAAGCCTACTGCTTAACACGTATCAATAATTCGGCGCCGGGGGTGGTTTTTACTGTATGACAATTATTGACGATATCTTGTTGTATGATGCAGAGGCCCCAGATTGCTTTTTTATTTTTTTTACGCAAGAACGCAAGTAAGTTTTTGTAATATATTCCATCTTTGTCATCATTGTTTGATGTTACAATTTAATTTATTTTCTTGGTTGTGAAAATGGGATTTTTTTAGTGAATCAAGCGTTTACTTAATGCCTGCCAATGAAAGGTAATAATTGGAGAGTTTTAACAACTTCTACCCTAACATAAACGAATATTTCTTATTATCAAGATATTGAAAACTATATCAAACGACTTTATAAATTAGTTTTACTAATTAATTATAATATTTTTGCCATAAAATGATTATTATATTTGGGTCATTCCATGATAATGTGAAGCTTTTTTTCTTTGTTTTTAAGATGAAGATAATTAGGTGGTCTCGTCAACAATATTTTACGATAGGATATTTTTATAAATAAAGACATTCAATTGTCTGAAAAAAGTCTGGAAAATATAACTCTCTTAGATTTTCCACGACTTTGGATTCTTTTAATGAAACTAAATTTTCTTTAAGTATAATAAAAATATAAAAGTAAATAATATGATGGAAAGTTGATTGATATGAAAACTCCTCGATCCTAAAGCGCGATATTTAAAACGATATAAAATTAATCGAAAATGTCTAAGGGGATATTAATGTACTTATTGCTACAACAATCTCATCAGACGCTCCATTTCGAAAGATAAAGTATTAGACTGATTTTTCTTCTTTATATTAAACTGAATAGCAATTACAGTGTAGAAGAAGCTTTTTATCTTAATATATTCTTATCAAAATGCATAATTAGTAACAATTGTTTTGTGGAACTATAACATATTTTATTTAATAATGATATTAAATTAATTAACAAATAGACAGGGACATTTTACGTTCGAATTAAACAGGACAACATGGTAATCCTTCCTGTTTATCGCTTTATTATTACA